GTACTACAAATAAACATTAGCAGCTTTGTAGTTGATAACATTTTCGTAACTAACATCAAGTAAAATATGTTCACCTTAAATTTTGTTCATCGAACAGGTTTTTCTAATTCTAGTAAATGTCACCAGCTTTCATCTTTATATTTCCATTCTGTCAGGAATTCAAACACAACTTTCTCTTTTCAGCTTCCCAGAGGGCCTTACAATGACAAAGAGAGGAATTAAAAGTTATAGTTTTCTCTTTCATTTGGCAGTTTATAGTGCCTTTGCAAACAAAACAGAAGTTCATTTTTTGTAACAGATGATTTAGCTTTTCAGACTAGGTAGTGCCTATCTGCTAACTTTCCATTTGTTTCCAGCAACTGAAGATACAATCTGCAGTGTAACTCTAGAAAAAACACCTGCCGGTTTAGGATTCAGTCTGGAAGGAGGGAAGGGCTCTATTCATGGAGATAAACCCATCATCATCAACAGGATATTTAAAGGTAAACACACTTAAATGTGTACACAGCAGGTTCTTAACTGATGCAAACTTGCGCAGTTTGTAACTGACTGCTCATTTATACCCATGAAAATGGTATTTTTGTAAACACAGCACTATCCTCTGCAGTGCCAGTAATTTGTTGCCTGTTGAGACCAGGTGGTTTATACCAAACGTGCTCGTGATCCTTAATAAGTGAAAGATACATTAAAGTCTCCTCCACGTGAAGAATTAAAGGAAATTCATTTTCTTTCCCCAGGGACTGCATTAGAACAAAGCAGTGCTGTTCAGCCTGGTGATGAGCTGTTACAAGTGCACGCAACTGCCATGCAAGGACTCACTCGTTTTGAAGCATGGAACATAATCAAGGCATTACCTGATGGGCCCATCACAGCTATCATCAAAAGGAAGAATCCGAGCTCTGTTGCCACCAAGTCATCTGAAACTTTGTAAGAGGAGGAATTAGACTACTGCCAATATTACAAACCAAAAAGGATTTTATTACTGGCAGCCATTTGGCTAGCACAGCGAGATGCTCAGAAAGCGCATATGAAAAGTACACATGATCTTACTGCCAGTGACGGAGCAAGCTGTCCGGGATAAATTAGATGTGCGCAGAACGTGCATGATTCTTATTTCACTGTTCAGAAACAGATGTCACAAAGTATAGAATTATAAAAATAATTACTTTAATAATAACATACTGGTTGTAATAAAATATGTGACAGCTATAGTGATCTCCTATGTTATGCCATTAACTTAAATATCAGAAGCACATTCTGTGCGAAGTTTTCAGTCCTACTCTACAAGTCTTGCTCGCTGCCTTACCTTCCCAGGAGGAAGAAATATGTCTACAAGTCTACAACTAAACTGTGTCTTAGAAAATGTGTAAAGCCTTAGAGAATGTATAAAGAGCAGAGAAAGGGAGATGCAACTTTGTGTGTCAAAAGGACAATATGCCCTGAAAAATTCCAGCTTTTCTACTCAAACCAGAGAACAGCTAGAACCTGTCAAGGTAACTTTCTACTAACAGTTGTCAGAGCCATCTCAACTCCAGCAGGCAAACACGGGGTGGGGGTTAAAGGAGTGTCTCATGGTATTGCAAAGGTGAGGCAGGAAGCTGAGGGTAATATAGCAGAGGTTTTCCCAACCTTCCTCTGGCCAGTGGTCTCGAAGGACTGTGGCAGGAGAGTAACAAGGCCATTTAGAACCAAGTCTTACCTTCTAACCACACATATTTTTTGAAATGTCTTTGTGTTAACTTTGTAAGGGAAAGTACTAGTGAGAGTATTTGGGAATTAGGAGTCCTGAATCCAAATGTTTATTCTGGAAACACTAAATAACTTGGAGACAAATCTATGCTTCAAACGCTGCTATCGGCATTTCGGCAGTGCTCTCTAAACACTGTATGGAATTCTACCGGCAGCAGCATGTGTATCTATGAGAAGATGGTCTCGCCAACCCATTTGGTCTTCTCTGACCTACTTCACTGAAGAGAGAGATGCGACATCAGGATGGAAGCAGTGACTTGCCAGTTGAAAGCCAGATGCATTGCTTTCTGTCCTTGGCTGTTCACCTTCCCATAGTTGGGAATTTGCTGCACCCTTCTTCAGTTACTTAACCAAACCATAAACTGCAGGAGTTCGGAAGCTGTTTTCTGCGCACTTAACACAATGTCAGAGGAACAGTAATTGAAAGAAAGGGAAGAAGGACAGACGACAGCAGAAGGTATTAATTGAATTCAGACACGTAACTTGCTTTGGCCTTTCCTCACAAGTCAACTCTATGTTGATCCTTGAAAGAACATTCTTGACAAGCCATCTGCTGCCACACTTCTAAACCCCTGTCCAATTGAGTTGTCTTTTCCAGAAACCAACCAACCAATCCTCAAAACTATGAACTGGGTAGTAACCAAAATAGGAGAAAAATGTGAAAGGGAATCTTTTTGTATATTTTTTAACTGGTACATACATGAAATTGTTTGAAGAGAGTTTTTTGTAGAATTTCTTCTATTTAATTTAATCTGCATTATTGGTTTAGTCTTAATGAAGTCTAAGTAAAGGCCTCGTGCATATAAAAGATTCAAAGATTTTTTCAACCACTTGCCTGTACCAGCAATACAGGAAAAATATGAAAGATTTCTGTACAGAAAAGCAGGCCTGAACTCTTTAGTACTATTAAAGCTATTTCCTGTAAAAGACAGATCACACTTTTTTTGGTCAGCTGCAGAACTCTAACAAGAGACTGAACTAGCTACAGCCATGGCACAGAATGCCTTAATTAATTCAATGCCATCTGCTGAAGGGGCCCTCACCTGAAACAGTTACTTAATTTCATCAATTTAAGAAGCGACATAGAACCACCAAGACAGGGTTGATCTCATTTTTTTTTCCAGAGTTGCTCTTCTCCCTTCCAAAGTTTTTCAGTTTTTGCATGCCTCTGCATTTCCTGACATCTGCCAAGATCAAAAGAAGTCAATACACACTGTGTGGCAGGCAGTGTGTCTCACTGGGGAGTCCTACAAGATAATCTTTGCTAAGACATTTTCATTTCCAATTTGGCAGGGCAGAAGGCTCAATGTTAAGGGCTCTTAAGTCCTCCTGGATAGAAGGTGTTAAAGCCTCAGAAAATGGATCCTTAAGTTATTCCATGAAAGAGCCTCACCTACCATCTTTATTGCTCAGAGCAATAAAAAAAACACCAACCAAATGTATAATCAATAGCTAATAAAAAGCCCCATTGTCTGCAAAAGGTTTACTTGCAGGAATAATGAACAGTGATCTGAGCTCTGTTCCTTGAACTTTTTGCTAATTAAATTAATCATAATCCTGCAAAGACTTGCTGAGATATTGCGCTTCGTGAATAACAACTTTAGTACATTTAGATAAATATTTGTGAGCCTCTATAATATCAGGGCCCAAATCTCTCCTCAGTGAATTTGTTACTCTTTCTAAGTACAGAAAGCAGCAATTGGAAATAAGGACCAACCAGGGGCAAAGAAGCTGGGAGGGTGAGTGCTTTCACCAAAACACCATTACCCACAGTGGGGAGGGTAAATGGGAGCCAAGGCTTTTCCCGCTCTTGGTGCCTTGAATTCAGAGAGATGCTGGAGATCCAAGGGGCTCTTATGTTTCCTTGATGGCAAAGTAGGTGCATGAGGAACCATTTTAAAGGATGATCCAGGAAAAACAGCACGATGTAGCAGAAAAATATTTATTTCATCACACTCGTACAAGTTTTTACAGCTTTGTACACAAAAGAGACTAGATTAAAAACTGTTTCCTTGAAAAATCTATTCCATAGGTTGATATTTACAGTGGGAAACTTTGTGTGCAGGTCCATGCCCTATACTAAATATAAAACAAATACAGGGACAGAAAGCAGAGCATATTAACCTCGTTAAATAATCTAGTTACAGCATTAAAATCACAACCTGCATTTAAATTTGTAATTCATCTATTAGTTTTCCTTTTGTAATTATATGTAATCCATAGTAATGTCTGACATTCCTGCAGTAACCAGCACCACAAATATTTTCTAAAGCTGGATACATCCCTGCACACAAGATCAGGAGCCGATTTCCCAAGATGCACCTGAGGCAAACCAGTTTTAGAAAAAAAGGCAATGCCCTTATGGCCTGTCAAGTCAAAGCTACAGAAAAGATTATTTACTCATTAAAACCTCTCACCACAAGAGACCAAAAAATGTCCAAGTGCAGTTTCAAAAATGGCAAGTAAAGTGCTTAATCCTCTTTATTTATTGCCACTATGTCAGTGTAGTTTGTTTCATGAAACAGTGGAAAACGCTGGTTTTGGTACAGAGGGGAGAACAGAAGCGCGTCTATTTGCAACACCACAGACCTATGAATTGATTTGCACTGCTAGACCTTAATTTAGAAAAAAATCACTTAAGGCATATTTACCATTAGCACTGAAGTCTGCTGCAACAAAAAAGTGGGATCCTCCACACAATCCAACTTGTTGTGGCTTTTACCATTTGCTGGCTTGGACCCACAGAAGCACCTCAGCAGCTCTACACATGCTGGCAGCAGAAGAGCTACCTCTTCTTTTGGGGAAGGAAGGTTGTTCCACAGGAGTCTACAGGGAGCTTCAGAGACAAAACAGGGCTGACCTGCACCTGGCTAACGCTGCAGCGCTAAAGGATTTTAGCAATGCTCCTCCTCACAGACACTGACATACTATGGCCAAGAACAGATCCAGCATGTGCATCTTCTGCCTGCAGACAGCCACCAGTGCTGCCTCCAGGATCCTTCCAGCCTCTGGTGGGCTATTTTTCAAATTATGAAAGTGAAGGATATTGTATTAGAAAAGAATGGATTGCTTTGCATAGAGCCAGACAGAAAATGCTGTTTTAAAAATTTACTTTACTCAATTAATTGTTCCCCTTTCACCTTTCCTAAGTACCTTTGCTAGTAGAAAAGTCCTGTAGGCCCTCCTGTTTCTACCCTCAAGCTGCTGGGTTTTTTCCTACCCTCAGCTAGTGATGTCAGCAATGGGTCTTGTCACACTTTCAATGCCTTAACAGCTTTGGTGAGGTTACTGTAAAATCCAGCTATGCTAGCTGGAAAGAAGGAATCCACCACCGTCTGGGGAAGATAGCCACCAAGATCAGTCTGAAAAAAACTGAGGAGTTGAGTCCTGTCTGGCTCCCTGAAAAGACAATGCAAGTGATTTTATAGCCAACAGTTTAAAAGCATTAAGAACTTCACAATGACTCTTATATATATTGTCCGATGATAGATATTTCTAAGTACTTTTTTTTTTAAAATAAACAACAGACATTAATTCCAAATTTCAATGAATGTGGCTATCCCCACAAGTCAAATTACAGATAAACTAGGCCCTAATTAGGTTCATGATTCTGTTTACGATTATGGCAATGTAATAAACACCCGGATACTCATTCACCAAAACTTAAGACCATACCCGTATGTTCTGCTGAATCTCTGCTTAAGACATCAGCAGAATGTCTTAAGAATCCTTAAGAATCTCAATTAAGAATCCTACCATGATGATGGTTCCTGTAACATTAAAGACTTCCCTCTAGGGAATGAAGAGAGACTAATTCATTGCACAAAAAAGAGAACAAAAAGGCTCCTCAGTCGTAATGATTACCAGTCAAAGGAAGACGCTGGCCATTCCCCAGAGGCTACAGATCACATGTGGCCATATACACATAAACACACCACACAACGAATAAGAGCTTTAGAATACAACGGTGAAATAGACCACTTCTTACCCTTGAAGAGGTATACAAAAACAGCCACAGGGATAGTTAAAACCTCTCACGAAATTTGGTTGACGAGGACATAGCGGGTGTTCTACATTGGTGGCTGTAAGAAAAAGCATTCAAGAAAAGTCTCATTTTCACAGAAG